AAAGCAAAGTATAAGTTCTAAGAGAAGAGCCGTTCAGTATACAGAATATATAAGCGGAGTTATCCTACAAAGGCTGCAAGAAAATGATACCAGCTGAAGCCCGTCTGTACAAGACCATAGAGCTGAAGAGCCCCCAAGGTAAGGATTGTCTCCTTTCTGTCTTTTCTTCATGTTATGTCAATTATATTTCATATATTACTACAAATTTCCCCTTTTCCAGGATACTGAAATATACAAAATAATACCTTTCCATCCCCCAAGAGCAAGACGTCTATTTCCTCACCTCAAAACTCTTTTCTAAAGCAAATTGCACCGACGCATCTACTAAATGAGACAATTATATAACATATGAGGAGGATCTAAACTTTACCAATACATTTAGCTTCTCTCCACCTCCAGTCCTAAGATGATAAAAGCCTTACTGGTGTACTTAAGCTTCTCTGGCTCCTTCCAGGTTCCCTCTAATGCTAAAGTTAAGCTGCGGCAAGCTGTAGAATCCCTTTGGACTCTGCTGCCAGGAATGAGCTGGGCGTGCTGTAGGATCTGGGTTCATGCAGTCCTACTGATTGCCTTCACCCCAACAGCCAATAATTCCTCCACAGGGATCAAGCCCCACACTAGACTTGTGCGACGTCAAAAAATTGTTCTGTTTCGTTTCGTTATATCCGTTATTTCGTAATTCGTGTCCGAAACTCAATTCGGATTCGTACGAAATACGGATTTTCGTTAGTTTCGGCACATTTTCGTAACTGTACGAACATTCGTTATTATGAAGGTAAAAAGCAAAATACCTTTGTTATTATTGGAGTCGCTGTGGTAGTTGTTTTTTTTATCCGAAATACGAATTCCGTTAACGGATTCCGGATCCGAATTTCGTATTTAAAAAAAAAAAACTACCATCAACTCCAATATATTAACAAAGGTATTTTGCTTTTTAACTTCAATATAACGAATGTTCGTAACGAAACGAATCGCACATGTCTACCCCACACCATGGCTACAACCGGAGGATGCTGGGAATTACATTGTTGTAAGTATCCCAGAGGAGATTTTACCATTTTAGGGCTACAAAGGGAGCTGACGGAGATCATATCATATCATTAGAATGATCCCAGTACCACATTACATAGTCATTGCTGAGGACTCACCTGCTGGAAGGTACAGAAAAAGCAAAACATAGGACAGAAGATCCTCCATCTAGTTTTGGATGAGATGGATCTTGTAAAGATGAGCTGGTCTTCTCCTGTGATTGATAAACCTATTGCAGATCTATGAAACGAGGTCTACGGAGGCTGGTTGTGAGTCCGGAGAACTTGTGTAGTATTCAAAGGCTTTCAATAAACTGCTGAGATGACAATGTACCAAATCTCAGTTGCAGGTTAAATATTGTATCTGGGTCATTTTCCATTTCAGTTCTCAGTTCTGACCACATTGACATGGCACTCGTATAGAGAAGAAAGGAAATGGTCAGCTCTGACGTTAATGCTAACCATCCGGAATCTTCAGAACTGTGTTCTAGTCTGACAAGGTATGCTTAAAAACATGTTTCCTGTGAAGGGAACTGCTAATGCTGTTAATAGCATACAAGTCTTCACATCTAACATCAGTACCTGACCTCACAAATGGGTCCATATTCCCCCAGACAGCCTCCAAAATCTTGTGCACGCCTTCTCAGAAGAGTGGAGGATGATGTAGCCACAAAGGGGTCATCTCCATATTAATGGCCATGGTTGTGGAATGGGATGACCAGCAAGCTCATATAGGCGTGATGGTGAAGCGGTCACACATTTGGACATATAATGTGTATATCCTGGTTTTGGGGAAGTTATAACCGTACTAAAAATGTAACATTCAGAATAATAAATGTCTATTGCAAATGAATCAAAGTGCCTCCTTCAAATATTGAAAGCTCTTACATTCATGGAGCTTTGAGAACAGGCCTTCCCCAGACTGTTTCCCCAACCTTGGGAGAGCACAATGGTCTATAATGTGTTTGTATGATGAAGGATTAACTGTACCCTTCTCTGGAAACACCTGGACTCCATCATTTGTGGGGGGTGGTCAGGGCTCCAAGGATGAGGAGTGGTGAATGGAAGTAGGCTCTGATATCCTTACCTCACTATGTCACCAATGTAATGGTCCCCAGGGCACTGTTGGTGACCATTGCCAGTTCTGTTCTTGGAGTGATCTTGGCCCCATGGCAGCCTTATAGTTCTGGTGCTAATGTGACGAGTCAAAGCCAGTGGGCCCTGTGGTACAAGGACAGAGATCCTATCACAGGAGGTACGTAAGCACACTGACATCACAGAAAGTTTTATTTATAAGTCCCTCTCACACCAATGCAATAAGAGGCTTTGTTCCTGAATCCCACATTGGGCTCCGAGAAATGTCCCCTCCTGCACTGGTGTCTTCAGGACTCCCACTGGAACTAATGACACTTGGAGCTTTATCTCTTTGTGTCCCAACACCAATATACAAAGTGGCTTTGCCCTCAGGAAAAAGAGGCCGCCTCTTGAAGAAACCTCCCCTCTGACCTCTCATGATGTCACAAAGGCCAGCCTTCACCTTCTGAGATTGGCACATCAGCTCCCATTGTCACATTGATCATTGATGTGGTAGAGAAGTTGTTTATTGTTAACCATACATGCTTCCTAATGTATTACCCAAAGTAGTCATATATTAGGATGTAATGTTATTGTATTGGGAACTGTATAGAAACCAAGTTCATATCCATGGGGCCACCACTCAGCTTGTGGATACAATTGTAGCATTTCATCTCCTTTAGGTTGGACATCACTGCCATAGTGTATAAGAACAAACTAATGCTCGGGTCCATGTGGAAGGAAGCCACCGAACCACGCCAGTATATAAAACCAAGCATCTAGATGAGGGGAGAAGATACAAACTCCATGTCACTAGTGATTGTGGTGAGTACCAAGTACTGGACACCAGGGAGAGCGTGCTCACCACTAAGTCACTGTATAGGATTGTATTCAGGGGGGTTTATTACCAGTGACCTCCAATGAGGATTGTAAACACATCATGTGACCTGCAGACGTCTTCTTCTAGAAATAAAATGATGATTAATAAGTAAATGTGGGAACCTGTAACGTGTCCTCTGTCTCCTCTTATGTTATAGAGAAGGTTGTATGATTTGTATCATGACATTGTTACTAGAAGAACTGTGATGTCACTTTATGACACCAGAGGAAGGTATTGTACCCAGATATGATCTGTCCAGTGTGTCATCGCATGAGAGAATGGCATTCTTCTATTTTACCTCCAGATGGAACATTCACCCTCATTTCCTCATTTACATCTCATTTACATATAATTTCCTCATTTAAATATCATTTACATCTCATTTGCATCTCATTTCTTACATTGCTTTGTAGCAACCATTATATTCTCCTCTCACCCTAATATCTTCATTCTGTGTTAACTCGTGCCAATCCTCTCCTCCTCTCCCCTTTTCTCCTCTACTCTCCTCCTGCTCTTACCTTCTCTCCTCTCCCCTCCTCTCCCATGTTCTCTTCTACTTTCCTGTCCTTTCACCTTCTCTCCTCCTTATATCTCCTCCTGCTCCAATCTCCTCTCATTTCTCATCCTTTTCTCTCTTCTCCTTTCTCCTATTCTTCTAACTTCTCCTTTCCCCTTCTCTCCTTTCTCCTCCTTTCCACTCCTCTCTTCTCTATTCCCCTTCTTTTGTCTCCTATACTCAGGCTGACAGAGGAGCTCTCGGTGTTTAATATCATCTACAATTCTCGGGAGGTGAAATGGTCAGAAAGTCTCTCGGGTCGTATTATAAAAAGATAACTTTGTGAAGGAAGAGAAGAGATCATATCTGAGACCAGTTCTCCCAGTTCTCCCAGTTCATACCAGTGCAGACAGATACGAGGGTGCTGTGTTGTGGCCGTGTGGTCAGCACCCCACAGTTCCGGGGTCATATCCCAGCAGGGGCCGGTCTGTGGGGAAGTGGAATATTGGCCTCTTGTTTGTTGCCGTTTCCTTCTCACAGACCAAAGCCATCCTTCTGTGTTATTTGTCTGATAGGAATCCCCCCAGTGTGGTGGAGACAATAGAGTGTGAGCTCTGGGGGTGCAGGGAATGATGTCAGTGGTCTCCCATACTGTGCAGTGGAATACGTCAGCACTATGAATAGAATGAATATATGCAGAATAACACCAATAAAAGTCACTTTATTTTCTCATACAAGGGAGATTCTTCCCAACATGACACCATGAGGTGACGCTCTGCGGTCATTGTAGGCGGTGGTCAGCGGAGGTCTTCTTTAATTTGAGGCTTTTCTGTATATCACAGCGGCGTAGGTGACGTCCTGTAAAGATACAAGACTTATAGACATCGGTCGCCATCAATAACTTCTGATTTTATCTCCGTTCCAAAGACTTTAATATCTTCCAGAAGACACGTCCTGCATAATAGTGATACCTATCAGAAGCTTGGAGCCTTCCAATGTGTCCCTGCATTGTATGTGTGGACTCTGCGGCACCTGAGAGAGCGCTGAGGAACCCCAATTTCAGGGTCATTTCTGGCAGATCCGTTTCCTAAATGGTTCATAATGATTCTGTTTTATATCTGCTGTTGTCTCAGCTCCCACCAGATCCCACCAGGTCCTACAAGATGCCATCAGGTCCCTCAGATCCCACCAGATCCAACCAGGTCCCTCAGGTCCCACCAGCTCCCACCAGGTCCCTCAGGTCCCACCAGCTCCCACCTTCTATCTTAGGTTCCCTGGTAGAACTTTTGGATGAGTGTCTCACCCTACTTGTGTACGGTGCCTACTGCTCTAGATACCTCCCCACTCCAAGGCTACGGCACGCGATGCAGAGTAAGTTCGCTGTAAGTGACTTCGGCGTCGGCTGATTCTCTGGCAGCATCTGAGGCAGAGAAGAGACGACAATGACGCATTCTTCTGTGTTACGGTCGCACAATGTAAGATTTCCAGCTGCTGGACTACGGCTTGGGAGTTTCTTGTTATAATGAAGCAAAACCTATTAGCATTTTGTTACATCTATTCGATACGTTTTAAAAACTATACCTGTTGATCCTGCCAGAAATCTAGTGCTGTCCTGTGTAAGCTGTGAATGAAACCTACACAGGTCACTTTGTAGACTACTGACAACCCCTCCCTCCATGTTACGGAGGTGAGTTCCCATGTTCCTCCGTAGATACACTGCAGCGAGTGAGTGTTGTCACCCTAAGCCAGGATATGTGTTACTGGCAGGATCACCAGGTGATGATAAAGGAAAGAAAACTATTGCAGCCGCCACATCTATGGACTGATAACGGTCATACGTGTTGGGGAAATCTGCGGTTGCCGTCCTCTTCGTTGATGTGGACACCGGTGCGGCTTGTGTCTGTACATGAAGAGCAGGAAAGCGGCAACCAGGAGTGAGACCAGAAGAGCCGCCATGATGATCGGTGTGTTGTCTGTACGACTTTTCCCTGCAATAGGAATAGAATGATTGTTATTGGTGAATGAGAACGGATATCGGATATCAGGAGACGGACATTGGACACATGGAGGGGGAAGTGCAACTAAAGACAAAACTTATTTATCTTTGATGTGGACAGAGTGGTGAGGGGTCAGACCCCCTGTCAGATCTTATTACTCTCTATGATCCCCTCTAATGACACTCAGAATTTGTTACATTGTCACTCCACTAGGAGAGTTTAGATCCCTCCTCTGCAATTGTCATCACCAATGTCACCAATGAGGGATAAATCCAAAATCATATTCACCTTTTATCACAATCGGGGTGAAGTGACTACTTTTCCTCACTTTCCCATCCGAAGATCTCACTTCACAGGAATAATTCCAAGAATCCTCCAGCTGAGTGGACTGGACTCCATATTGATTGGGGGGACCGAATTCCTGAACATTCCGTCCATCTCTGTAGAAAGTAAATTGGAGTTGTGTCCGCGGTCTGAGCGGACTGAGACTCGTGTCACATGTAAGGGTCATGTGATCTCCTTCTACCTCCGGATATTGGTTTCCGATGATTGTTGGTTTTACAAACAGCTCTGCAGAGAAGGAGATTCAGGGAGGAACATATATGATATTCTTCTCCAGATAAATCAGAGCAACAAATACAAATATACATTCTTCTGTGAGGCTGGAAAACCTATTGGAAAGTGTAGTGTGAGCTGATGCTGAAGCATAACTTTAAGGAAAAGCTAAGAAACATGGGCGACATTGACATAAAATATTAGAATATTATCACTATGCGGCGTCATCCAGAATATTTAGTAGAATCCGGGCACTTCAAGGACAGCCACATGTATCACCATCGGTCATTCTGTACGAGACAAACTCCTTCTGCTGCCATCCAATTGTATTCTTCTCTTTCTGTTGGGTCCATGTAAGACTTTTGTCCACAGGAGGGAATACTCTCTCACAGAATGTCCAGCTACACCACATAACCCACTAAGGTAAAAGAACAGCAATGTCAACCCGGAAGAGGACATCGGATAACCACGTGGCTACATGTTGCCATTTGTGGTCCTGTCCTTCCCGCAAGGGCCAGCTGTGGATCTTCACTCTCTGATCTCTGCTACTACTCTGCTAACTGCCCCTCCTCCTACTACCCCCTCTTATGTATATACTATTGCTGGAGAAAGACCTCTAGCAGGGACTTAAGGATACTAAACCTCTCTCCATTTCTACACCTGGCAAGGGCACTAGAGAGTTGAGTCTGCCCCAAATACAGTGAATGAGTCAGCTCAGGGAATTATTATGGAATGTTGACCCTCAGACACCCGAGTCTTCTGATTTGGGTTTATATAACTTTCTTCCACCCCTCGGCTGGTCCCGTGATTGACTCACCATTTATCTGGATCTTTATCTCCTGACTCCTCTTCTGTACACTGTTGGTTGTCACTTCACATGAATATTTCCCAGAGTCCTTCACCTGAGCGGACTGAACTCCATATCCGTTAGATGAAGAGAATTCTCCAACATTCCGTCCATCTCTGTAGAAAGCAAATTTCAGTTCTGTCCTCGGTCTGAGCGGACTGAGACTCGTGTCACATGTCAGGGTCATGTGATCTCCTTCTACCACTGGAATTGGGGTCATTATTATCTCTGGAACTTCAAATGGATCTAAAAAGTGATCACAAACACAAACTGTATCAGTCATTTTATCTTCTGTATTGTTGGACATTACGGAGTAAGTCACATGATCGCCTCCTAGAGAAATGACGTGACGTTATCGCCTTCTCATCTACTGCCCGGGACACGCACACCATTCGCAGTGATAATGTGGATCCGATACACCACCAACAAAGTGTAAGAGGGATGATGGAGCCCCGGGACCTGGATAGGAAACCTGGGGCACCCTCACCAGGCTCCAGAGCCCAGCCATGTCTATGGGTCCTGCACATTACATATTACCTGGATTATGAAATAAATCATCAGAAGTCACTGAGAGCAAAGTGCGGAGCCCATGTCAGCCAATCAGAATGAAGGGACATCCCCCCAACAAAATGGGGACTGCAGGAGGACTATTCATGGCTAAATAAACCCCTTTATCTATAATAAAGCTTAGAGACGTGATCTGCCCCGGACTTACTTTGTACATTGATAACATCTTCATCATTGAAAGTTACATATTTTACATAAATCGTATGCAAAATAATTTTCTTTGTACATTTGTATCTCCCGGTGTCCGTCATGTTTACAATTCCTACATGTAATTCAGATGTTTCTCTCCAGCCTTGAATGACAGAATTGTCCTTGTAGAATGTTGTATATTTTCCCATGTAGCCGGAACGATGGTGACACCTCAGAGTCAGATCATCTCCTTCATGAACATAGAGAGGAGCCCGCAGGATCAGCCAGCCTGTAACACAGAGAGACGTCACATGAGGAGATGAAGGATAGAGGACAGACATCATGTTACCTCCAGGAACAGCTACATCAGTATAGGTGCAGTATACAGTATAGTAGATGCTTCCAGTGCTGATCCTCCATGACTTCTCCTATCATATATGTCTCATTTATCAATTATTCTGAATTAAAGTGACTCTGACTGGAAGAAATATTTATATCAGAAGAACCCTGTAATAGAAGATGCCTAATACTTTCCATTGTCCAATCTTCACATTCTGATGTTATAGATGGTATGTCCCCACTGAGTACTGAGGTCTCACCTGCTGGCTGTCTGCTATTGAGTTCAGCTTTCAGAATACATCAGCCATCCAACATGGAAGACCCTAATAGAGACAAGCTTTGGCTGCACTAAGAAGTGAAATCTGGGAATTGCCTGATATTAGATTTCTGGTATTTTGTCTGGAATGGGAGAAGAAGACATTCAGATGGAACATTATCAATGTGATATAATAAACTGACCATCAACAACATCCAGCCTGGCGGTGTCACTTCTTTCTGTACAGGCCCAGCAGCTGTAGTCCCCGCAATGTGCAGTTCCTGCAGATGGAATGGTGATGGATTTTCCTGTATGGACCCATTTACCATCTTTGATCCAAGTGAAGGTCAGATCTCTTCCTCCAGTAGACCCAACATCACACGTCATTGTCATGGAGTCTCCTGTGAAGATCTTCTTCCTGTTTGGGGTGAAGGTCACCACCGGGCTCACTGCCGATCCTTAGGAGGGTGAAAGAAGAATTCTAACTTATGTCATGTTCATTTCCAGCAATAAAATGTAGAATGTTTTAGGGGAGTATAATATCAGATACAATACAAGGATCTCATGTTTAAAGGCCAACTAAACTTTCATCCCAATTCCATCAAAACAAAAAGAGTGCAAAGTCTTAGAGTTTGTTTTCTTTAGAAAGCAGCCACAGCCAGATTAGAAAAGCCTGCTGCAATGGAGGACCTTTGCTCTCTGTGTGGAAGCAGTGGTCTCTCTGCAGAGGTACAACATGCCTTCTTCTGAGTCAGGGCCATACCTCTCCAATCATCAGGGAGAATGAGCTCTTTTGAATGCAGAGCTATGGCTATGACTAAGCAGGGGGCTTCTCGGACCTCTACAGAGAGAACATTGCTTCCACACAGAGAGCAAAGGTCTTTCCCTGCATCATGCACAAACGACAGATCATCCTAAAGGGCATTAGGAAATGCTCCAAAGCAAGAAAAGTGACTTGTGGACAACAAACTTACAAACGGCTAGGTGTGAAAGATTAGAGATGAGCAAATAATGGAAACTGCTCGCTGCTAGGGGAATAGAGGACCCAACTGGTGTAATAACTGTACCTGAAAATTGTAGTCCTAGAGGACTGCTTACCCGTTCCCTATAATGCAGAGCGGAGGACCCCCCACTAATAGGAAGCCCCCACACTATGGGAGAAGAATCTCCAGACCCTTGGAGGTCAGCCAATCCAATAAGGATATAGAATATTTCCATATAAGGAGCTTTCCTCTAGTATAACATTTCCTTATAAGGACAATGATGTCACCCAACGACGTCACTACAATTCTGGCGGCTTTACACCGGAGTCACTAAAACTTTCTACACAATGGTCTGCAGTGTTCTCAGTGGAGATGAGATGAATCGGGATCTGTAACTGCCGGAATTCCCTCTATGATTCCGCTATTTCTATCATTGTACAATAGTGATTGATTTATTGATTGATTGGCAGATGTATAATTAAGACTCACCTGCGTGTCCCAGGACTGTGACTGTAAAATAAGACAAGGAAATGACGACACGTCTGAAATACAAACTTCATTCTATGCAAAGCAAAGTATAAGTTCTAAGAGAAGAGCCGTTCAGTATACAGAATATATAAGCGGAGTTATCCTACAAAGGCTGCAAGAAAATGATACCAGCTGAAGCCCATCTGTACAAGACCATAGAGCTGAAGAGCCCCCGCTTCTGTCGGAGAGTTCTCTTCATCTAACCAATATGGAGTTCAGTCCGCTCAGGTGAAGGACTCTGGGAAATATTCATGTGAAGTGACAACCAACAGTGTACAAAAGAGGAGTCAGGAGATAACGATCCAGATAAATGGTGAGTCAATCACGGGACCGGCCGAGGGGTGGAAGAAAGTTATATAAACCCAAAGCAGAAGACTCGGGTGTCTGAGGGTCAACATTCCATAATAATTCCCCGAGCCGTCCTCTAACTCCAAACAAAGTCATGACTTCCAGTGTTCTGCTAACTGAGAACATATTCCCTATTCTAAAGCACTTCACCATCTACTACATAGACCCTTCATTCTATAATATTATTGTCAATGTCTTCTCTCCAGCAATAGTATATACATTAAAGTGGTAGTTGGAGGAGGGGCAGTGAGCAGAGTAGTAGCAGAGATCAGAGAGTGAAGATCCACTGCTGGCCTTTGCGGGAAGGACAGGACCACAACTGGCAAGATGTAGCCACGTGGTTATCCTCCTCCGGGGTGACGTTGCTGTTCTTCTACCTTAGTGGGTTATCCAGTGTAGGGGGACATTCTGTGAGAGAGTATTCCCTCCTGTGGACACAAGTCTTACATGGACCCAACAGAAGAAGATGAATACACTTGTTGTAAATTATGATTGAAGTAGATAGGGTGTATTCTCATGTATCGCATTCTTTTACCTGATGTTATTTAACACATCTATGCTAACTAGGTTTGTATTGTGTTAGTTTATTGACCAGTGGACCGCCAGGTTTTGTTGATTGTACACAATGGAACAGCTGGAGGGAGTTTTGTCAAAACCTGTTTAGTTAACTAATATCAAAGGGGTAATTAGACCAGCCAATCAGAATCCATCCAGTGTTAGTGAATGGCACTAAACTGTATATGAATAGAGAGCCTAAGGTGGCTAGAAGGAGGGGAGTTCAGAGTCATGAAGAGAGGCACAGAGGTCCATATATAGATTGGAGATATATGCTGGGTAGTTAGAGTGGGTCCTCATGGAACCTTTATCATCTGAGGTCTAGATATTTGACTCTGTATTACTCTGTTGGACTGTTCCTGTTCATCTGTTTCTTCAATCCAATTAAACGCTACTCTCTGGAAAAGAATTGAGGTTGCCTGGATTTTCATATAAATATAAATACATATATTTATTTCACTACAACACTGATGTTTAACTATTACTCTACTTATCCACTAAGTATAGACTAGGGTGAACTCCACAGCATTGTGAGGGTTGGCCCATAGCATTTACTCTGTACACAGAAAGTCTATGGGCCTCCTGCCCCGTCATCCGTGGGCTAGGACATTTCCCAACTCACATCTGCTCATAAATGAAGGAGTGTGATGCTTGTGCCGACATTATTGATCTTATATGACCAGATGGCTGTATTAGGTCATTGTCCTTGACAAAATATATTCATGTGGCCATATAAGGTGTATGATGTCACGGCATTCCCTGGCCACAGGGGGGTTGCAGATGAGGCTTCCTTCTGTGCTTGGAGAGGTTCAAGTTTGGACCAGGTACAGTCCCAACCTGAGCTCATCCCTATTATAGACAAGTTCGAGCAAAGTCTGGTCTGACCCTCTTCAATCTCACAATTAAAGAGCAGCCAGTTCAAGCCATGTGTGCTGGGAGCCGGTAGGGTGAGTTTGGAGCTTCAGCTTACCATCCCTGCAAAGCTGATAGGCACCTGGGACTGCAGAACTGGCGTAATACCTCTACTCTTCAGGTGGCACTAGAGGGTTATGTAAAGTATACTGACCTCGTTTTACTGGCACATATCAGCAATTTTGGGATTTTGGATGTCTACATGAGAAAGGCTTTTAAGTTCCATGCCTAAGATACGTTATATGCACATATACTCCTTTGGGTTGATTGTTGTTGATATGAATGGCCTGGGGACAAAGTCTCTTTAACTCTTAACCCTCCACCCCTAACACTTCACCTGAACCTTATGAGCTTTCCCCTTACTACTTAGCACCCCTGAACCCTGAAGCCTAATGCTAACCTATCAAAAAAGACATACTGCACATGAACCCTTATTGCACTGCGTTCTCACCTCCAGCTTTGTTGGGAATCTACATCAATAGCATGCTGATCCCTCCCCAAAACCTTGTAGCACTGAGATTACGGCACCAACGTACACTGATCTGAGAAAAATCACATTGTAGCAACCTGGTTAAATCAGTAAACCCGGAAGACTAGACAATATCTCATACAGAGTGACAGAAGGTGAC